TCATTAATTTGATCAGAAATCTGAAAGACTTCTACTACATTCCCGTTAGTCTGAATTATTCTTGAAGTACAGCACTCAGAATTGGATGCAGTATTCCAGCTAAAAGTCTCACCTGTATTGGCTGGAAATGAAAGCTTCTGTGTGACATAGAGGAGTCCGTTTATTCGTCGTGTTGTAAAACCATGCAGGTGGGATATTAAGTTGAAGTTCCTGTTTACTGTAATCCCAAGAAACCTTCTGGAGGAGTTAATGCACAGTCATCCTATTTATTATGGGGCTTGGCAGTTGATTATTCCTGCATGTAATACTTGATCCTATTTATTTCAGATCATTGTTGATAAATTGAAAATTCTTGCTGTTCTCTAAAGATCTCCCAGTTCGTACCTTGGAGTGTCTCAGATTTTATGTACCATCTAGTGGCATCTGCGTCGCTTATCAAAATAGAGTTTTGGAATCAGATTATTCTAGTTAGTCCTGTAATGTTTCAAAATGGGCTTAAGGCGAGGCTGGAAGAGAAATCCAGTGAGAGGTAGTAACACTTGGGAACCACGTCCAGCTCTTAAAGCTTGAGATTATTAGAAGGTCCCACATATGCATCCCCTATCCTTAGGCTGTGCCCTAGGCGTCCACTTTGGGCAGATTGTCAGAGACACTGTACGTGCTGGCCATGTGGGTCAGAACACAGATCCATTTTCACCACGCTTGGTTCTTGGGGCTATGAATTATTGATACTTAATTATGTAAGGCAGCTTTTCAGGCAGTTGTGCCACCCATTCTGTAGCCTAGAGAAATTACTGTATTTCCCTACGTTGTTATGAAACTGCCATTGGAAACAAAAGGTCCATGTTAGCACAGCTTTTGTGTTTTCCCTGTCCACAGTTAAGAAAAGCGGGGACAGGGGACATGATTCCCCCTGCTGGTTCTACCCCAGTGGGTCTTTTCAGGAGTTGAGGTCAATTTGGTCTAAAATTCTTTGGCTTCTCATCTTCCTTGTTAAGCACTGCACTTTTATCTCCTTCCTCACCTTTGAAAATCCCACCAACACTGCAGAATTCTCTAACAAAATTGGTCGCTGTGCAGGTGAGTTCAGGGAGGTCCTGTGCTGCCTTTTCCCTAGGAGACAGGCAACTCTGGATGGCTGCCTTGAAAATAACCCAAACGGACCCTCAGACTGGCAACACGGCCAAGATTTTAACGCCTGGAGACCACCCCTCACTGCAGGGCGTACCACTTGGCTACCTAATTCTGTCACAGTTTCCAAATCAGAGAAAGGAAAATATTTAGACATGTGCAAGTAATAGTCTGAGTGGCATAGTCCCACTGTGTGTGATGTAGCTTATATTACTATATATACTGTATCTTGCTTGTATGATAAGAGATAATTGCTTGTCATTTTTATGGTAAAACCATAGCCACAATCGTCACTGTAATCTTAACAGCTCAATCAGATTACAAAATGTGGAAACTAGTAGACAGGCGGATTGCCAGATTGAAATGGAAGGGACTGGAGCTCCTCTGCTGCTGCATTTTCATAGCCTGTAAAGTCCCCCCTGTCTGCTTCGTTCTGGAGCTATCACAAGAGCAGTGTTCCTCCTGGTTTTCTTGAAGACTGCACCATTTACGGTACTGTTCTTTGCCAGATGAGCGGTGACGTCCAGTTGTCTCTAAATATTTGTGCTGTTCAGCATTATTCTTTTACAGCATAACTGGCATTACGCCTCCCTGCCAGCTTTTCTCTGCGTAGTTAAACGTAAGCGGTTTATTGTGTAGGTTGCCTAAACATCTGTAGTACAGTTACTGGCACATGGCAAACTACTGTGTGGAAGATGGTTATCAGAATCAAGAGTAAGAGAGAAAGCTGCACAAGTAAGTAAATGATGAGAAGTTGATCCACTTGATATAAGAAAAATAACAGGGCCATCTTTCAATCGTTACTATTTTACAAGGAGCTCTCCTTGTGTAAAAATGTTTAGTTATGCACAGCTTAGCTGTCTTTTCAGCCACACCACTTTACATCAAAGCCACCTAATTCACTTGCTGTTCACAAAGAACACCGTGTATGAAAGCCAGGATTTACCAATACGCTGGTATTGGTGAACCTTCATCTTAATGCAGAAGCTTCCCTACCCAACACCTTCAAGTGATGCAGACTGCACAGAATTTCTGCTAGGCTGAAATTCAGTTACCGAAACCAGACATAACTCAGAAAAGGACTACTGGAATTGTAAATACAAAGCGCTTGAAATAACAGCCTTTTATTTTTACTTCCTGCCTTACAGAGAACTAAACTTAGAGCTAAATCTTAGCATTAAGAGGAGCTCATTAGGCACAAATACCTTGTTCCTGTGTAGAACTAGAGAGAGGAACAGCAGACCTTCTTCTTGTTCATTTGCTTTTGGGATTTAAACAAAGAAGTCTTGGAGTCCGTAGTTTCCTAAGAGTGAAAAAAGCAGTGGTGTGATCTGCATGCTATGTAGAGGTGGAGTTGTGTGGTTGCTTTCAGTCACATGTAAGCGATGACAGCGATAGTGGTGGTTCTGCCCTCAAAACGTCCTTAGTAGACAGTAGAACGTCAGTTTGGTATTTTTCAACATTTACCACACTGATGTGTATAAATCTACGAATAAGGGTTTTTTTGTGCTTAGGTGTACGATTTAGCAAGCAGGACATTGTTGAAGTTCAGAAGAGGCGCTAGAATGAACCAAACTTTTCAAAGGTTATCACATCATTTTATGAGTCTCCCTTTACAGTACCAGCTGGTAATGAGAAAGTGTTTTATGCTAATTTAAGAGAGCCTCAGAACTACTGAAGACTGCTGACCTGTAGCAGGCAAACTTATTTCATCTATAATACATAAAAGATCAGAATTTCCTTTTGCAGAAACTATGCCAAGTATGCAACTGGGAATAGAATACCAGCTGATTAATGTGTTGTTGAAAGACAACTAACTTAAACTTCCAAAGTAGTTTAATTAGAGATTAATGCTAGGCTGCAATGAAAAGCACCGTTATTATCCAGAACTTAAAAGATGCTTAGAAAGGAAGACATCAAGTTAAGACCATTTCCCTCATTACAAAACCTTGGGATTCTGAAGCATAATTCTCTGTGACTCAGTCGTTCACTGTCTCTTTGGTCAGAAAACCTGTAGCTACAACTGAGCACTGTCAGACAAAGACAACCTGAGACATGGCCAGCGAAATGGAGAAGTGGACAGACAGTGGCTGTTGCAATGGACTTGGCAAAGATATTTCAGATCTAAAGATAATAGCTTTTAACACTTTGTCTCATAAACACTGGATTAATCAATAACGTCATCACTTGTATTATAATAGGTATTGAAAACAACTTAGAAAACACCCCCGTATTTAAGAATAGTGTTTAACCACCAGAGATTAGGGTGAACATTATGGGGTAAACGCATGCAGTTTTGCAGCTAAGTGTGACAGAAAAGGTTGATACGAGCTAGCAATCGAGTGCACCAGAGGAATATAGACCTTAGGGTCCATTGTCCTCAGCAAATGAAAGGCTTAACAACTTAGAAAACACCCCCGTATTTAAGAATAGTGTTTAACCACCAGAGATTAGGGTGAACATTATGGGGTAAACGCATGCAGTTTTGCAGCTAAGTGTGACAGAAAAGGTTGATACGAGCTAGCAATCAATGAGCGCACCAGAGGAATATAGATCTTAGGGTCCATTGTCCTCAGCAAACGAAAGGCTTGTAAAAGAAGCAAATTTATCTTAACCTGTGTATCTTCATAAAGTTTCCTCACTTTAATAATTTCTGTTGAAAGAACTGCTTGTTGGACTTAACTACTGCTTAACCTGTGTATCTTCATAAAGTTTCCTCACTTCAATAATTTCTGTTGAAAGAACCGCTTGTTGGGCTTAACTACTGCTCTACAAGCAGCAAAATACTAGCACAGATCCTGGTTCTAGTAGGTGCTAGAGGAAAATGCCACTGTGAGCGCAAACCCACAGGGGAATTTTTTGCCAGTTTCTAATCTGTTGCAAGAACTTCTTGCTAACTTGCTTTCTGTATTAATACCAAAATACGGTGACACTTCAAATCCACCACAGCATTTTATTAACAGCTGCATTTTTAAACTGGGACATTTGTCAAATGTAACAGATCGAATAAGTGACATTTCCCAACTTTAACCTCTAAAATACAGAAGTACAAACCAGTTTGCTTCAGCATAATTCTATATCCAGACTGCGAAAATGGTTTCTGAGTGTCTGAAATGTCAACATTATCAGTGCCAAGGAAGTTTGTATTTGCTAGGAAGTTTGTTTTCCCAATGACTTTTTTTGTTTTGTTGAGAAGAGCTTAAACCCTGGTCAGCATTTTTATATGAGCTCTAAGTCACCCTTGGCTGTGGTTCAGGAAAACAAGCTACTTAGGAGTGATGTTCTCAACATGAATCGAGCAGCAAAGATGTCTTAACGTGACCCTCCTGAGTTTTAGTGTATCAGGATGGTGATACACGTAGCACATACCTGTGTAATGTATGGTACTTGTATATACACACACCCCGTGTATACGTAGATAGAGAGTGCACCTACTAGGGCAAAATCCTCTGCAGCTATACTGTCAGAGGTACAGGCACAATCATCAGGATTCACCAGACAAGAACTGGATACGCCAAACATTAAAACAGGGTCTGACACAATAGGGGTGCTTTTACTGTTCTCATTTCTAATAGTGCAATAAAATAAGTCAGTAGTTTACTATTTTAAGTAGTTTACTATTTTAAGATATTCCTAATTCTAAAAATCTTTCCATTTGCAGCCAACAATGCAGTAACTGGTTTTTTGCAAAAACATCAGGTAGGATATTTGAGACCAAATAAATTAATGTTTTTTTGTGGAGCTGAATACTGAAACTAGCAGTCCTGTATACAACCTTAAGGAAAAAAAGCTTTAAAAACATCTTTTGCCCTTGCGGACAAGCATATTGGCAGCGTATATAAAGCAAATATAGTAAGTCCATTTGGAGCTCAAGCTGTACAAAAGTCAATGTGCGCCAGTAATTCTCTATGCTGGCTTGTTGGATACTGCATTTTACATTTAGGACACTCCAGAAAACTTTCATCAAGAAGGCTTGACTGTTTCAGGGAAGGACTTCTGTCATACGTGGTCAGCTTCTCTTCAAATGCTGCTTGCAAATCTTCCTGTGGTTCCATATGTGCAGACTCCTGGAGTTTCTGGAACAGGAGAAGCTTTAGTGTAAGACTGGGGCGTGCGTGCACTGATCAAATACTACAGAAAAAGATACAAGATTTGATGGGACACAAGCCTTGTGTGTGTTGTAGAACTAAGGCTAGAATTTTAAAGATGGCTAAATGCAGTGTTACTCGTGTTAGTAACGGTGCAATGTCGTACAATTTTAACACCACATTTAAATGAGATTGCAGGTAGCTTTTCTGTAGACTGTTTAAGACAGGTTTACCACAACGTCTGACTGGGAATCCTTCCCCAGGCATCCTCCCAGCCACTCTCACACGCTCTTTCCTTAATAAAATGATGCCTCAGCCACCTCTAGGTAGGATACTGCCTAGTTACCCTCCCAGGAACTGCCCTAATTTTCTCTTCTCCTCTGATGAAGTTTCTCTGCATGAAGGTTGTCCCTAACTGTAAAAGTCACCCAGTTGTCTATTTGACAGCTACTTCTCCAGCTCCTTAGCACAGAGAAACTCAAAGCTGTAACTTCCCTGCTCTGGCTGAACTTCTGCTCCACTCCCAGCAGACAGAAGGTTCTCCAGTGGCCTCCCCTGGCAGCAGCAGTAGCAACTGCAATCCTAGCCAGCAGTGTTCTTCCCAGGGGCAACATATGAACAGAGAACATCAGTATCTCAGAATTCATCCCATTCCCTTCTTCATTTGAGAAAATACTTGCAAGCTGCATACCACTGAGGGGGAGGGCAGGATGGCAGTCACAGAATTCCTCTCGTCTGCAACTCATTGGAAGCTTTTGCATTTACCTTCTCTGCAAAAAGCACAGCAGCCCCAGACCAGATCTACTGAAGAATACAGGTACCTGATTTCCATTTTGAACCTCATTTAAGTAAGTCCAGAAATGCAGTTCTGACAATCCTATTCAGCTGTCACCTAATCGTACAAGACACCCTACTGTAGAGTTCCAGAAGCACCTACAGTCAGAATGCATTTCTGCTCAGGACCAGGGCAATCCTGGATATGACAGAGCAAAATAAATCAATGGCTTGCTTAATACTTCACCCTTCTCTACAGTTTTCTCCATTAACTCTAGGGCTCAGGTCTAGGTGGTTTCTTTGGGCTTCTGTAATAAGCAGCAAACAGACTATGGCCCTCACGGTACAACAGATGTCCTTTCTCATTGTAGTAGGGTAGGTTTGAATGACCCACCCCATACTGTATACAAAGGGGGTGAGGGAGGAATTAAATTTCAGTATCTAAGGATTGTGTCCTGTTAAGTAGCAGCAAGTCTGAGTAGAAGCGTCCTGCAGCTTTGTCATTGTGCAACAGACAAAACTACATACACCTTGTGATACAAAATACAGCTGTGTTCCCTGCTCAGAAGCCTGGCTGTTCTGGCTCTGCTCCTGCAGTACTGGCTCACCATGCACGCTGTAGAGAAAAACAGCGCCTAGCGAGCTCACATGGGGTTCTGCACCTTGGGGCCACAAAGGGTGTAAGGGCCTGCAGTGAATATCTGGTGTCATTAACAGAAGGCTCACTACACTATAAATAGGATCCCAAAATGAAAGGCTGTACATTTATGCACAGTCTGACTCAATTCACCCGTGAGTTACCCCCAGTACGTACCAGAGGTTCCAGACGGGTTATTTGCTCCCTGGCCTTGCGCAGTTCCTTGAGAACTTTGTTTAACTGATACTGCAGGTTCTGGCGATCAAGCTTTTCATTCTCAAGGTCTCTGGTGCACATCTGGATCTGGCAGCCACCCAAAGTGAAAGTGAAAGCATTAAAGTTAGAAGTATTAAGAACTGAAGGGGATGGGGTGAGAAACATTTCCTCTTTAAATAGATGAAGTTTTAAATCTGCTGTCATATCCTAAAATGGGATTTTTAAAAAACAAAAACAAAACCAAGCCCACACCACAGAGAAACCCTAACTTGTTACTTTCACTATAGTGAAATTCATACATGCCCAGTTATAACAAAATCTTCCCCATTAGTAGAGGTGGCGTTTGAAGTTATTTTGGTTGGAGAGTATTTCAAGCTGTCTTGCAATCTTAAACTGAACATTTTCTAGAAAAGCTTATAGTGCAATTTCTCATTAAAAATGAGCGTTTCTACTCCAAGGTTTTTCTTGTGGCAAGAAAATTTGGACAGAAGCTATGGGTAACACTGTACTCCCAAGCTTAGCGAATAAATGTGTGTTGTTTTCCAATAACATTAACTAGATCTGTAAGAATGTACTCGGAAAAAATAAAGATGATGAAAAAGATTTGCAGTTACTTGCATAAGTTTATCAAAAGTATATTACAGAACTTCAATGAGCTGATTGGTTTTTGGGATATTTCCCATACCCAATTTGAGGCCGTGCAATTGAACAAGTGATTGTGGAAAAAAGAGCATCAGGTTTGATGACACCCTCTTATCTGTAAAAGGTTACAGATTTTCCTCTTGACAGACATGTCTGAAGTTTTGGAAGCATTAAGGGATTATTCACAGCTGAATTCATGTCTAATATTACTTTATTTAATGTACTACTCATTCTTAAATTTGAAAAGTTAGTCTAGAAAGTCTGTGTGCACCATACAAATTAAGCATCAGCATTTTAGCATACAATTCACTACCTGTTGTTCCAACAAAGCTGTCCTGGTGTGTTCCTCCTGCTGTTTGAGCAGTGATTTACGAAGAAGTTGCACCTACAAGGCAGAACAACATTTGTAATAAAGAACTTCCGCATACAACAGTTCGTAAGCTTAGTAAACAATGCATCTAAAAAGGAATAGAAGTAAACTTTTACACTCCAATGCCAGCAGAAAAATGTGTGCCCCTTATGCAACAGCCAAGCCCAGTTCAAATATCTCTGCTTCTCTGGGGAACACCCCAGAAAAACATCACCATTGCACTCTGCGGGGATAACGCGGGATGATGATACAGCTCAAAAAACAAAATCCCAGCTGAACGTCCCGGGGTGACTGCTGAATGCGACAGAAATACCACAAAGCCTGTCCTTGCACCGACGTGCCACGATGTTAAAAAGCAGGCAATGCAACTTTAAGACTCAAAGTACTATAATGGATTAAGTAAACATTAAAAAAAGGTTAAAATATCCTCCATTATCGGCATGCATCAACTTTTACAGTAAATCCTATTGTTCAGCCTTAAAAAGAAAAATCAACACCTTTTAATCATTATTAACCAGTGAGGAACCAGCCTGTGTTTAGAGAGCTAAACTGCTGTTCTGGTTTTAGTCTACTTTGGTGCCTAGCAAATTTCAATGTCCTATTTCAGATTTCAGTTCTACATTGCTTTGTTATTGACTACAGACTTCTCCAAGCAGTAAGAGTGTGTTCTTTGGATGCCCTGAGGACAGTCCTTCCAGGAGGGCTCTCCAGTTTCTCTTCAGCAGAAGAGTGGGCACGAGTTCATGTCCAGAAGAAGAAACAGCAGATTTTATTCTTTTTTCCACCCCCATTAGCATCACCAGGAAGAGGTGACAGGAATATTCCAAGACACCACTGTAACTCTCCGTGTAGTGTCAGTGTATTCCAAACAACAGGAGGTAAGCACTGAATATTTTTAAATACCAACATACAGCACGTACACGTCTTCCCCTGTCTCTGATCAGTGATTTAAGCTATTGGGCTCAAGAAGAGAAGGGAGAATTAAGAACTTCAGTGAAATAATTCTGTTCACATGTGAAGCCCTCACAGTACTCTTTGGGAGATGGGCAAGGCCTGCAAACAGTTAGAATCTAATGCAAAAACAATACAGCAGATCTGACACCAGCATAAACCAGGCACACAGAACAGCCTGCCTCTGACAGGCACTTCTTGGGCTTTACAGGGACTTACAGAACTGTTCTCTGTGGTCTCTACCACAGCCGTCTTCAAGACACTGGCCCTTCCCATGCTTATCTGGCCATTGCTCTCTAGCACTCAGGTGTGCCTGCATAGCTCTCATTCATGGCATCACGTAGAGAACCAAACGCAGGAACTCATCTAAATGCAGAACACCAAACCAAACACCCCAGCTGCATGGCCACAGCAGCTGGCTGGGGGCACTGTCCAGGGACATGGCTGCTTATCCCCAGTAAGCAGGAAGATAAAAGCCCACGTCTGTTTGTGGCTGCAACTATCAGTGATATTCCGTAGTTAGGACTGCATGGTAAAATAGCATATATGGACTTGAATTTTTACCTTTCCTGTCCTCCTTTACTATTAACCTTGAAGATCAACTAGATTAGAATCAATTAAGTATTTTCTCACTTCTCCCTGTTGAGTCTCACAAGACCAGAAAATAAGCGAACAAGTAAGTTCCTTGTTTAAACAAGGAAATGTCACAAAAGTTTGGATTTTGATTAAATCCAATATAGTAAAGAAATAATTCGGTTTAACCACAAGGACATGAGTCCAGGTACATGTAAAGAACAGCTATCAGACCAGAATGACGGTCCATTCTGATTTACTGATTTTTCACTTCTCTTGATTCTTTGCTTAATGATCTTAAATTTCCAAATGCATCTGCTTACCTGACATAAGAGATCTTCAGACTTTTTCTTTTCTTCTCTGAGCTGCCCTCTAATAGTTTCATTTTCTTGTTTTAGTCTCTCCACTTTCTCTCCTTTAATTTTATTTTCATTTTCTAGAGTCTTCATTTCACCAACCTGCTGTGACTGCAACAAGGCATTTAAACTTATTAGTTCTCCTTGTGTTTCTTCATACTTCTTTTTAAATTCGTTTAGTTCAGATTTCAGCTGGGTTATAATGTGTCTTTCAGTCTCAAGATCCCTCTTCGCAGTCAGTAACAGCTGGTCGTAGTATTTTTGCTTTTCCTCTTGTAGATGACCTTAATGAGTCAGAAATAATTGAGACAGTCATGGTGAGGGGCAGGGAGGAGAAATCACTTACAATTCAGAACACCAAATCCTTGACAGCATTTTAAAGTCAATTGTGTGATATCCTAGCCTATTACACAGCTCATACTGTCACCAAACTAAATAGCTTCCAATACTTCTAATGCAGTAAAAGTCTCCTTCCCAATAGAGTTACTGGAAAAATGCAGTTTGACTTGCTTATAGTATTCTGTGCTGCAGCCACGTCCTTCACTAGCCCTCACACCAGTATTACATCCTTTGCCCCAACTACACAAGCGTTGTGACCCACACGTAGTTCTTACATGGTCTCATGCATTGTACTGACACATGGGAATCAAAGCCCGAGGACACCAGATTCTTACTTCCAGATTTAGGCTCCTTAGGTTTTGGCATTACAGCTTCCCCAGAGAGACCCTGGGGATCTGCTGGGCTCTACTTCACTAAAGCCCTGCATTGTCTTCTGCAGACTATCCTCTGCTAATTATATGCTGTCATTTACTTCTAAAGAGCAAATGAAAAGGACTAGCACAGTTTTGTTAATAAAAAATCCCCGCTTCTTGGCTAGTGACTGTTACTTAAACCAGAGTTTGAAAATCTTCTGCTTGTTGACCCGAGGAGAGTTTAGTAAGTAGGAAAAAGGTGGCAATCTCTAGAAATTCAGTAGTAATCCAAGATATACCTACAAACAAAACAAAGAATGCAGAGCTTCACAGGCTTTGCCAATTTTTGACAGTGTAAGTTTCTTCCCTACTGAAGGCTTCCCCTAATTCTTCAGACTGTAATTTACTAGTGAAAGTTACTTGTTTGTTCTCCCTCCCATCAACTGTGAGCTAAGCCTCATCTTCTTGTTAGTAATGCTCCTTTACAGGGTGGTGAGATCTTCAGAAAGATACCACGTTTTTCCTTGGAAAAAGTTGTCGTATCTACTTTCAACTTGTACTCCAAAGTTCTTACAGGCTTGGATGCCTGCTATGGCCTACCTGCTTGAAGAGGGGAACTTTCTTACACCCTCAGTCCTAGTCTCCTGGCTGCTCTGATGACAAAGCATTGACTGCAGTAACTGTTACATTTCCTGGTGAGCTTCCTCAGTCTGCCTCCTGCTAAAATACTGTTCATAGATTTATAAACAGCACCGAAACAAGATTATGATATTTTACTCTTTTCTGTAAAGATTCAAGCAGTAATACAGAAACTAAGCCACTGCACGTGAATTACTAAATGGTAAGTATCTGTGGGCATACGCTCACTCCAGGTGATGCTAGTCCTATTTAGTGAATTTACCTTGAAGGTCAGGTGCAGCAGATATGAAATTATTAACTTGATAATAAGAAAAGCAAGCCATCTCCTCCTATTTCATCTGTTCAGTGTGGTTTTAGTTTTATTCCACATGTTGGGCAAGCACAACTGAAGTCAATTTGAATGCATAGTACCAAGAGGGTGCTCATTATTGAGGAACTGCATAGCAGGGAAGTGAGCTCGAGGTGGCCAGATCCATATTGTGAAACACTACTGTGGACAGGTGCCAAAGCCTACCACAGGTTTTCATGCCCTGCGAGAACTGTAAAGAATGTGTCAGTCTTGAGTCATTTTTATAATGTTTATTTTGAAAAAAAAAAACAAACAACAAACCCACCTTAAAATCCTGATCCACGCCTAGCTAATAAATCTTTAATGCTTCTACTATGTAAGTTGAAAGTGTACTTTGAAGGATGGGAGACACACATATATTTCCCTTAGCACTTTCCACAAACAGAGAGGGCGCTAATAGAGTGTCAAGGCTGTTAAAAACCATCTTTGAAGTCGATAAAAACATGAAATACTGTCGATCAAGTAATGTAGCTAGATAACAGGAAGCAGAGAAATTCTACTTCGCCCAGTTTTACCAATAAGAAACCAAGATATTGAGAAGAAAGTATTGATTTTGTTTAATTGTGCTGTAATTTTTTTTCTGAAAACATCTATAATTATGGTTTAGGTCACTTATGAGGAAAAAAAATAGGATTTACAGACAATACCTTCTGAATTGAGTTCTTTAGATTCTTGCTGGCTAACTCCTTCTGACTTGTGTTCAAGTTCAAAGATCCTTCCAAGCAGTCCCCTGACATATGCTTCACGTTGCTGGTCGTACAGTAGCCACTGTTGGTTTTTCTCAAGAGCCTTCATGAAAAGGAACAGAAAAACAACAACAAAGACTCATAATTTATCCGATTTTAAAAGTATTAGTTGACTTTAAAGTATTATATTACACAGTTTAGAGATACGCTAGTTAATTCTACTACAATTTGCAGCAAACTTGCCTGTACCATAAATAAAACCCATCTTCCTTTGGAAGGATAAGTCATTGAGTGCAAGTTAAAATTGCAGCAACGTGAAACACCGATTTGCCTATTGCTTGGAATGGGAAAAGGATTTAAAAACAAAGGCTTTCATGAGTCATGCCCAGGTTTTGAAGAATTAACCTTTCAATCTCAAATATAAAATAAAATATAAAATAAGAGATCTTGAAAACTGATTAAAATTGTATCAACTTAAGGTTTGTAAGAACAAGGACACAGATTTTATATCGTTTGGATCATAGAATTACTCAGGTTGGAAGGGATCTCAGGAGGTTTTCAATCCAACCTCACTCGATCCCAGGCAGTATCCACTCTGGGGTCAGACTAGGTTACCTGGGATCCTGTTTTGTCAGCAACCACTTCTGTTCTGAAGTTCCAAGCAAGGTTTTTCAGAGATCATGAGAACACTGTCTTTTGGGTTTTTTGTAAGTCTTCTTTTTAAAATTATTGTCTTGTCACAGAATAACTTGAGGTATTATACTTAGAAGGAAACATACCCTCGGAGGGCCCATGCTACCCAAAAACATACATGGTGATAATTTCCTTCTTATGCATCTTGATACAGATGATTTACACTTGCAACGTTGTACATGAAACTTACATCTTTCAGTTGTTTTTCAACTTCATGAAGAGGAGTTGGTGATCCAGTGCTGTTTGTCACAGCTTCCTGCAGACGAGAACAGCCTGTTAGTGTTCTTTAAACAGATGGCTGGAGCAGTAAAGCTAGTCCTGTGTAACTATTAATCTCACATAAATAGCATAAGAATATTTTAAAAGTGGAAAACAGACACATACATGTGCCTGTTGTGTTTCAAGATCCTTATAGCCTTTTTTATTCTAGGCCTATAGTTCTTTCTTTTTTAGGTTGTATAGAAAACAACTCCATTTCAGAGTGGAATTAATCTTCTAGGAATCTCCTGGGAGATACAGGACACGTACATTTAATTTCTTCCTTAACCCTGAAAGTCACAGTTACATTAAAACATTTCCTAAGAAGAATATCATGTGTATTCTTCTGAACTGCTATCTTGGAAGACCTGAAGGGTGCAGGACAGCTTCTGAAAAAGGAAGATATTTAGGGTATTATTTAAATACACAAAAAGTTAAGTGTTCTGGTTTTGTATCCTCATGTCTGGCAACAAGCTAGACCTGTAGGAGCTGTTGGAGAAAGTTAGAGACCTTGACAACTTCATTGGGATGGTTAGAACCATCTGGGAAACCTGCAAGCCTGTCTGGAACCATAAGGACATACTGACTGGTTTTCTGAGACCGGATCCACAGTAGAAAGCTTAAAGTACAAGTCAGAGAGTTCTTCAGACCCATTTAAAACTAAACAGCAGTTCAACAGTTATACTCCTCTCATAATCTAACATGTTTATTTGCTGCACGATAGAAAGCTCTTTGATATTGTGTAGACAGGAGTCAGAGGGAAGTTAAAGGAAATAAATATGTAGATTGCTACCCAAATCCAAGCTACATTTTCCCAAAGCTTTCCTGTGTTTTTGGGAACATAATTTCAAACAAGCTTTATAGCTGAAAAAATACGGGAGATCTTTGAATGGAATTATTAAACTTCAGCACTTTCTAATAAGAATAGGATTTACAGACAATACAGTTGCTCAAATTCCTGTTTCTATAAACACCAGTACTCTCAGTGCAAACTCTCTCAAGACTGTGTCATACAGCTGTTTTTTCCATTTCAGTGTACCTGCCACTCATATGCCGCGTAGCAGTTTCAAGCAGCATTGCTAGACTTGTTTTCAAGTTTTCCAAGATATCTAGTGAAAAGATCAAATTTTGTTGTCCTCTGTTGATAAGTCACTAAAAAATTTAAAATAAAATTCCGATTTTAAACTGAAAGATATTTCAGTAGTTCAGTGACAATAAAAAATAAAATCATGAAAATCTGTTGAATTAACACATTTGAAATTCCCTAACAAGGTTAAAAGTCTGTTGAAATTGAAACTAAACACTTTACGTTTAAAGTGCTGTTTCCCAAGGTACTGCGTTAGTAGAAGTGATACATGTATGTATTATCATTGAAAGTTAGTAGTTTAAGATACTTTGCTGTGTATTTGGCTAAAGCTGGATTTCTAGAAATTACTCAGCTTCCCTGAAGAGCACTGGGGAAGCAGCACCATCTGCAGGTCAAAAGCTGGAAAAGACTTATGGGCACCTCTCTCAGGCACCAGCCTCCGTGCGCCCCTTATTGAGATACTACTGCATTTTCCGTGGAACATTAGAACAGGTATGGGTGGAAAAACAACTGTAGAAAGCTAATGCACTTGTGAAAGCTGCCAAGTACCTGGCTTCATACTTATTAACCATTTTAAATGAGAGAAGCACCTCATTATTCCTGTCCTGTCTTCTGTCACACTGAACTAGTTACCATGCATGATGCCTTGTAAAGCACAGGGAACTAGTTTTAACAACTGATGAGCCAATGAGGATTCAAAAGAGCTGGGAGAAGAAATATTCCCACAGAATAGAACAGTTTGAGTTGGAAGAGACCTTTAAAGGTCCTATAGTCCAACCCCCTGCAATGAGCAGAGACATCAAGTAGACCGGGTTGCTCAGAGCCCCATCCAACCTGGCCTTGAACACATCCAAGGATGAGGCATCTACCACATCTCTGGACAACCTGTTCCAGTGTGTGCAATGTTCCCTTTTTTCCAGTCACCAGGGACTGCACCCGACTGCCATAGGCTGACCTACCTGTAGAAGCCCTTATTGTATCCCTTGCCAAATTCAGCTCCAGCCACACCTTGGCCTTCCTGACCTCATCCCTATACAACCAGGCAATGTCCCTGTACTCTTCCCAGGATACCTGTCCCTGCTTCCACTGCCTGTGTTTCCTTCTTGCCCTTTAGTTTGACCAGCAGGATTTGACTCAGCCATGCCAGTCTCTTGCCTTCCTCTCCTGATTTCTTACACCTGAGGATCACAATGTCTTGCACTCTATGGAAAGCATCCTCAAAGATCTGCCAGCTCTGTTCTGCTCCCTTGTCCCTGAGGGCAGTTTCCCAGGGGGTCCTACTGACTAACTCCTTGAACAGCTGGAGGTTTGCTTTCCTAAAACTCAGCATCCTGACTTTACTCTTTGCTTGACTTATAACCCTCAGAACTGTGAGCTCCACCAGTGCATGATCACTGCAGCCCAGGTTGCCTCCAATCGTGACATCACCAGTTAGCTCATAACTGAAGCTGAATTATGTGAGGACCTTAGTTTATATATTTATTAATGCCCCATGTCTCTTACTGCTGCCTTCTCAGTCTGTTCAATCACTGGGCATAAAAACCAAAGGAGGGCATAGTATCTGCTTAAGGAACAGCGGATCATTCCAGGTGGTACCACTGGTCATACCACCTGCACGTGAGGTCTAAAAAGGGACCTTGCAGTACAGCATTAGAGAATTCCCTCCCCAGCTGCACTGCCTGAAGTTGTGCTCCCTGACTGTTCTTCATTTAGCATTCAGTCTGAGTATCCTCTCTTTTCGTACAAGAATATCTCAGCACGCAACACAACTTGGAAGACAATTAAAAATCCATCCCATTTTATAACAGACATCAGTGCTTAGTAGGCACAGATTCCAAGTCTAACCTATAATGGCAGTTATAATCAGTGCTTACCTGGGATGCCTGAGAAGTACCAGCTTTGATTTCAAGCTCAGAACATTTTGCAGTAACAGTGGCTAAGTTACACTTTAACAGGTTAATTTCTTCTGACAGAGAACGAAGTAACTGTTCTCTCCTTTGCGCTTCCTTTGTTTTTTCCTCTAGTTGACTTCGTAATGAGGAGACTTCACTATTCTTTGTTTTGGATCTAAGCTTGTCTTTCAGGTTTTGGATTTCTTTGTCCTTCTCTCCAAGAAGATGGTTGCGTTTTTCTTTTTCTTTTTCAAGGGAAAGTATTTTCTAAACGAAAACAAAAAAGTGGCACATGTCAGTCTATGCAACAACTGCATTAGCAAGTTTACAACAATTTGAGAAGATACTCACCTTGAAAAGTTCTCTCATAGCCTTTAATTAGCCGAGAATATTACCCTTTACTCAAAACTGACAATACTACAGTGATAATCTGAAATATTTCAAGTAATAGTAAAAACAGTCTGAAGTAGATCGAACAAGGAATGACTGCAAATAATCAAATTTCACAGACTTGGTAGGTACTCGGTTTTGTGTATGAATACAGATCACTACAGTAGATGAACCTTAAAACACAAGCAGTACAGGAACTCTAGAACACTTCCACTGAAGAGGCTGGTGATACATTTCTTAGTGTTGGTTAGCATATTTAGTAGCTTTTGAGAAGCAGCAGAGCCTTCTTGCAAACTAAATGGCAACATGTGAAGTTAAAAAAGTTACAAGAAAGCATTCAGGAGAAGGATCCTGTTCTCCAGATTATCTGGCCTTTTAGTTTCAAAGTAGATATTTTCAACTCTCTTTTCAGTGGGCCTCCAGCACAGGTCATTATTGCATAGCCTTAGTGCGACATCTGAGACTCCTTGGGGCTCTACATGAACTTCTGCTATGATAGCATTTCATTTTCCATGAGAAAGGTTGTTGTTGAAATCCTTCGTGTTGAGTTCAAGTTATTAGAATATGACAGAGAAACAAAGAAAATTAATTTTAGAGAGCCTCATTTAGGGAGTGCTTGAAGACCACGCAGTGCTCGCTAGAATTAAAATACTGACACCAAATAGTACCTAGTATATCTAAACATGCCTGTGATTCTCCACCTGTAAACTAGGAACCCAAAATTAAGTAGTCAACACTGAGCAGGCAGCAAACTCCACCAGAAACAGCAAATATTCCAAGGACTTCAGCTACAACAGTCCCTGAGCTGTCCAGCCATGGCTGGTACTTGTGTTAGCGCTTCTCAGCTGGTATTGTAGCACAGACACACAAAAAGCCCTACTGTCAAAAGAAGTAGCCTAGAAATATTAGTGTCTCTAATCTCCATTAGTTGTACCCTTTGAAAAAGTTCATTTAAAGTTTCCCAGTCCTGGGAAACCTAACAGGGTGTGACTTGGTCACACGCTAAGTCTCTTCTTTTAGTGCAGTCACAGGTTTACAACGGATTCTGAGGCGTGGAAAGTGCAGTGCCTCGGCTTCTGCTCTTTGGTTGTAATAGAAGAGTCGTGTTGGTGAACTGATTAGTTTTATTTACCTGCAGCCGAGCTTGAGAATATAGCTCAAGCAAATACACAGCACTTTTTGGCACATCCTTAGGCAATTGTTTGCAAAATTGTATGCAAACACAATGTTCTTTGCTCAAATTCCCTGGGACCAACTGTTCCAAGCAATTAGACATGTGAGGACAGGTCTTAACGGGCTAATTGGCACCTGTGGCCTCAAGTCTTTGTATTTAACAGCCTTATCAGATGATTCTAATTTGATTAGCTCAGTCATCGTTGAAAAATATTTGAGAACAAGAGTGTCAGACTAAACCAGTAGCGACAGAGTAAACGGAGCCTGAGGAGGAAGGATTAGCATCTTGCTTACAGAGTCGGGCACGCTCGGACTCACGGTAACCGCGCACAGTTCGGACAGCACCAACGCTATCTGCGGCACAAGCATCCACCTCACCTCGAGGAGCCCGTTCCTCTCCGCATCGGTCATTTTGCCTTTCCCCGTCACGGCTTCCTCCATCAATTTCCTCAGGGCTGCACTCTCCTGTTTGCGTTTCTCGGGATCGTTCTCGGGTCTAGAACTGCTCGACTTTAATCCCCACTTGCCAATAATTATATCTTTGGCGGTCTTGGAATTCATTTTAAGCACCTATAAAAAATAAACGTTATGGAAGAGCAACCCCTTCCACGGAGCAGGACGTGGCTTCCTACACAGCTTTAGTCAAACACGGGCAGCGCAAGGCTTCCCGGCTCAAGCTGGCGGCTCTCGGGCCGGGTGGCGGAGAACAAACGAGGCAGCGAGCACCCTAGCGCTAACGGCAGCGGCGGCGGCAACAGCTCCGGCCGGCCCCAGCCCGGCTTCTCTTCCGGGAGTTTGAATCCCGCGGCTCCGGCATCGTCACTTCCGCCGGGCCGCCTCACAGGCGAAGCGAGAGCTACGGTGTCTCCGATGGGCCGTAAAAGGTGGGGGCAGAGGTCGCGTTTTCTCTCCTCGCCCCGTTTTCCTGCCCCGGCGCACGTGCTCGCAGCCCGCCGCCGTGAGGCGACGGCTCCCTCGTCCCGGCCCAGGGCGGCCGCGGCCTTCGGAGCGGCCTGGGCGGTGTTTGTTTCCCCGTAGTTAATTTTCCTTTTCATTGTTAAACGGTGGTTGTGGAAGGAGGGGTGGTGACGGGTGAGTGCTCCCTCATGTTCCTTCCATGTCGGTGGCTTGCCTCACCCTTGCTGTTTGGGCAGAAAAGGGCAGTGGCACCAGCTGCTGGGGGGCAGCAAGCCTGACTTGTGGCCCTGGGCTTCTGCCAGCTGGAGGACGCATCCAGGGCCGGGATGGGCAAGGGTGCAGCAACCCACCATGATGCTTCAGCCAAGTCTTACGACTCCTTATCCTCATTCCTTGCTGAACATGTCAGCATTAGATTACCTTTTCATTCCCAGAAATCTTTTTCCTCAGCTACCCAAAGAAGCAAGATCTACCTTGGCTTCTGAAGTAATAAGCTAGGATAGTTCTTGTGTGACTATATAAAAACTGGGCTGAACTTTATCCACCTGTGACTCATTTTGCTCCATCTTGCTGGCTTCCTCTCGCATCTCTACTTAAAAACATTCTTGGCAGTGGGACTGTGCGCCGCTTGCTTTTTCACATCTGGTCCACAGCTGAGAAAAACTGCTGTAAAGCTGAACACAGAGTAGCTTAGAGTGAAGAGTTCTTTTCACTTACGTAAATTTCACCATGTTTCATTTTCACAGAATCACAGAACGTGAGGGATTGGAAGGTACCTCCAAAGCTCATCCAGTCCAATCCCCCTGCTGGAGCAGGAACACCCAGATGAGGTTACACAGGAAGGCGTCCAGGCGGGTTTTGAATGTCTGCAGAGAAGGAGACTCCACAACCTCTCTAGGCAGCCTGGTCCAGTGCTCTGTCACCCTCACTGAGAAGAAGTTTCTTCTCAAATTTAAGTGGAACCTCCTGTGTTCCAGTTTGTGCCCATTACCCCTTGTCTTATCATTGTTTGTCACCGAGAAGAGCCTGGCTCCATCCTCGTGACACTCACCCTTTAAATATTTATAAACATGAATGAGGTCTCCCCTCAGTCTCCTCTTCTGCAAACTAAAGAGCCCCAGCTCCCTCAGCCACTCCTTATAAGGGAGATGCTCCACTCCCTTGATCATCTTTGTAGCCCTACGCTGGACTCTCTCCAGCAGTTCCCTGTCCTTCTTGAACTGAGGGGCCCAGAACTGGACGCAATATTCCAGATGCGGTCTCACCAGGGCAGAGTAGAGGGGGAGGAGAACCTCTCTGCCCTACAACCACCCCCTCCTGATACACCCCAGGATGGCATTGGCCTTCTTGGCCACAAGGGCACAGTGCTGGCTCATGGTCATCCTGCTGCCCACCAGGACCCCCAGGTCCCTTTCCCCTACGCTGCTCTCTAATAGGTCATTCCCCAATTTATACTGGAACCTGGGGTTGTTCCTGCCCAGATGCAGATGCCCAGATTTTAGTGGAGTCTACTGCATGTGTTTATGTTAAGATAAAACATAAGCCTCTAAACAACACAGAGGTTCTTCTCACATTTTTTGCACATATTTCCTTAATTCGTCTTTATTTTTACTTAAGCATGTATATTTTAATATTTTCTCAAGAGATCTCCTAAATTCAGCGTGTTAAATGAGGAACCTGTGGTATTCTGTGTAAATCGTAGTTGTTCGAGAGCACAACGGAAGGGGGAGCGCTTAAACTATTTTTGAAGACCAGGGTCATTTTGTGGTTTTACACGGACACGGAGGCAAACTAGAAACTTACAGACAGTGAAGTTCTAAAAATTAAGGTGGGGGGGAAGCTATCGTGAAATTTAATATACCTGGGTATACCAAGAGGCAGAGGTGATGTGTCTTGAGTACTGAAGGTGTGCTTAATGTTTGTGTTGCTTATGCTTGGTCTTGCCTTGGTTGCTTACAAGAGACTTACCGTGCATCTTAAAAATAAAAGCAACAAAAGAAATCTGCGCTCGTTTTTACACTGTGCCCTTTCTGTTACTGGATTTCACTACCGAGAGCTCTTCTTCTGCAGCAGCACAGAACTTGGTGTCGATTTACAGGTACTTTTTTTTTTTCATAGCCTTCAGTAGCTACCCCGTCATAGATCCACCCATAGACCTTCTTTACTGCAAACCAGCTATTATTCCCTGCCTCCTCTTCCTGCTCGCATTTCAGTCTAGAAGTTGAGGAGTTTGAAACTTAAGACTTCCTTGAATATCTTTGGTAACTATCGACACTTAGACAAAAACGGAAACAATGCTGCGGGTGATTGTGGAATCTGCTAACAATATCCCTAAAACCAAGTTCGGGAAACCCGATCCTATTGTTTCTGTTATTTTTAAAGGTAAGGAAAACTGTACTGAAAATATACTCGGGGAGAAGGTTTTTTGAAGGATAGTGCCTTATGTAAGTATTTGAACGTCTGTGAAAGCATGTTTTCCTGAAGCTGCATTTGATGTAGCTTTAGGAAAGACTTTTTAATTAGAGAGACAGGAGTTACCTGAATGAAATTTGAACTGGGTGGAGTACATTGGTCTTTTCTGGTCAGCAGTGCTGCTGTTTCAGGATCCACATTTTACAAGCTTTTGCAAGGCTTAGCCCTTTGCTTTGAAAACCCAAATTGACTGCATGGATAAATCCACTTTTAATTCTGATATTGAAGCTTACCTTGTTTTCTATCTGAAAAAATAATTCCTCTGTCTTGATTACTTTGCACAGCCGCTGCTCGCTGTTACACCAATTTTTATGGTGACTGGTTTATTGTTGTAATTACCAGGATGTTGAAAAACAGTAGCACCATTACTGAAGGTGTTTGGGTTGGGGATAGTTGTTTGCTTGTTTGTTTGTTTTGTTTGTGTGCTCTAAAGCAACTCAGTTTTACCTAGTAAACAGGAGTTACAGATTTATTTTTTATCTTCTGCATTGCCGGATTTGTTTCTCAGTCCTTCACTTACCCAAACACGGGACCTGGGTAACAGACATTAAAGCAGTGAGTTTACATTTGTCCTTTAGGTGCTATAACTGGGATTTTTAATGTTCACAGACATGCAAAACCATGTCATAAATACAACTTCATAATTGTGACAGTTTTTAGTAGGATATTTAATTTCCCATTAGACCTGCCACTTCTTTTTATGTGGTTTTACTGCAAACCAGCAGTCTGATTTTTTTCTCTCTGTCCAGAGAGACTCAATAGGGCCAGAAAGTACCAGGCTCTTGCCAGCTCTGGAGCATCTCTGATTTAATTTTCAAGTGGAGTACCTGGTTGCCAGGTGCAAGGGCATAGGGATCATATCTGAAATATCTTGAACTTCTGTCTGTTTATAGATATTTTTAATAGACAGCCTGTTCCCCCTCACCCTGTCAGTGTGTAGAGATGGGAAACCAGTCTTATTTTGGGGAAAGTGTATGTCAAAGAACAGCTGTTTTTAACCGTGGTCCATACCCACTGTAGCTCCTGGGGGACATAAAAAACACAATTGGGAGTTCATTTTCCAGACTGGGAAAAACTCAGGCATTTCCAGGACTTTGGCCATAGCCCTGCAGTACATTTTCACGTTCTTGTTTGACTCTAGAGTGTTCTTGGAGAAGTCTCAGAGAACAGCACTCATTTGACAAAAAAATTGCTGTGGAAGTCGACATTTTGTTAAACAGTGTTTTGTTCATTAGCTTTTTCAAACTTTAACCTGCACAGCCTTTGCTGATGTCAGGTTCAATAATTTTAAGACTTCCATGAAAACACACAGGATCTCTCAGGATCAGACCTTTACTCCTATGCTGTGAAGAAAAAGGCCATGATCCTACAACTACCGGTATGTATGTGACTTTGAAAACACTTTACATGTTAACACACATAAGTTAGTGTAGTTTCATCTATGTATAGAGTAGACTTCATCAGATTTTGATTAGATAGTTGTAGAGTGTACAGGCAGTACAATTAATAGAGTGACATATCTTAGGTGCACATTAAAAGGAAATAGGAGCTGTTTCTGTTGTGATATCTTATTTACAATAGAGGGATTTTGTGCAAGTATTTGACTTTTTTTTTCACACGCTTCTGTTGGGTCCAATGGGATGGAGGTTTTATATTATTTACTTTAACAGCCACTCACTGTTCAAAGAGAACTACACCCTGAGAGTAAACGGGTATTGCTGTCTGGAACTGGGTGCTGTTCCTGCAGAATTCCGAGTTCATGGTCACCCTGTGTGAGTGACACACTCTGTGTGTTATTGGTTAAATTAATATGAAAAATGGTTGCTATTTGCTGAAGTGGCCCTAAGTGGTAATGGTTGAACCAGGGCAATTCCTTTGGTCCGTCAGGTATACCAAACCGCAGAAAAACGTGTCAGATTCTTGTCATGGGGTTTAAAAATTTACACAGATGCTTATATGTGCCGTTTAGTGCCATGCCAGGACATTTAGTGCTTTGATTGTTCTTTTTGACTGCCTCATTCAGCTTCATGCATTAAAAACTGATGTGAAATGGCATTAAGTTTGATTGGGTCAACTTGAATAAAATTCGTTTTTGTATTTGTGCTTAACCTAAGAGCTTTCCAGCAAGCCTACAGCAGTTCATAGCTATGCTAGTTTATATTTCAGCGTGT